CGAAAATAAGAATATCATAGAATATTGTTGTTACTACTACTTTTTCTTAAACATTTGTTCATTTAATTTAGTTTAGTTATAATAAATTAATCTAAATTGACCCAATTATTGAACTAGTTCAAGTGAAATTCACTAGTTAATAGATAATGTTCTGTATGAGTTCTTTGCGAATTCGATAAAAAATTCATTAGGGAGCTTTCAAATTTCCGTGAAAGTTTTTTGGTTATCCTTTTATTCGGATTGTATAAAAAAATATGTTTATTACTTTTCATTGTTTAAGTGACCATTAATATAAGCATTGATCAATGATTACCAATAAGTAGCAATCCATCTAAAGAAGTCTTTGAAAAAAAAACACGCTCAAAATGATAATCCGTCATTTTACTAGAGGAAACAACTTGCGAAGCATAGTGCTGTTAAAAGCGTTGAAGAAATAAAAAATATAACTTGTCTGCACGAAGTAGACCATCTATTAAGAATTATACTTTTATTTTGTTTAGCAGTCACAATCAGTTAAAGATAAGTTACTTGGAATTAGGTATTTACTGGTAAACATTTCTGATTCAGTAACACTTAGGATTATATGTCGATGGATTCAAAAGGCATATTAATGAGGAAAAGGTTGTTCTTCAGAATAAAACATCAAATGTTATATGTATGTATTTCTAGACACCACATAGGATCATTTTCAACTAGCGTGACGTCGTCATGACGCTTAAGGTTTAGTTAAGACGAGCATATTGCGTTTTCTTAGATTTGTAGTAACTGTTTAGCTAATAATGTCATGTAAAAAATAGCCTTTGAACATAACTGCATATTAATTAACATTTTGTGGGTTAATATTATAAAGTGTTAATGATTTTATAATTTTATTCATGTTAGTTAATTGTAGAAGCCTATAATCACCATGGTTACTCTCTAGATGGTGTTGATATTAAACAATATGGTTATTTAAATCGCACACCGACATCAACGCCTCAGCTTCAACAAATATTTCCCGGTGAAAGATTAAATTATCAAAATTCCGATATATTGTCAAATCCTGCTAATTTGCTAATGAATTTCAAACAGTCTGATCTTGTTCCTATATGGTATTTGTTTGAGACGCCATCAGCTGATGAACTAGATCCTCCATCGCTTATGTTCAGCGATAGTTCATCTATATATAACTCCCATCAAATTATTTTATTTCTAGGAATTCATACTTTCATTGCATATATATTCTATTAAGCAATAAGCCACTAGTCATACCTTATCCCAGTTGTTTATCAGTAATTTTTCTTCAATATTTTGTATTCAGATAAAACCCTTTTTTTGACAAATTCTTTAGAATATCTTTTTTATGGCAGCTTTTGCATACAAGTAACTAATTTTGGCATTTACAATCTAATTTACGCTTAATATGTTATCCTTATTTTTTTCCTATAAATGTATTTATCTCTACTGCATGTATTATATTCAGTACTTTTCTATGACGTTAATCATTGATTGAAATAAATTTCTATTGCTCAAAATATTTAATTAAATTTTAATAGTTATTATCATGATTTTTCATTCTTTATTCACAATCTCTTGCTGAATAGATGGTTTCTAAGTTGATGGTGTGAATCAATAGTTTGCGTGATTTCCTTACAAGTTCTAATAATAATTATTATTATTATTACTATTATTCCATTTTCCCTGTTTTTTTTATTTTCTCTAATAATAATAATAATTTTCATAAACGTTATTATTTAGTTCTATTCAGTTTGTGTGTATTTGACATTAGTTAATATCACGAGCAAATTTTGGTTAGACAATTGTTGAATAATAAGGAGCACTAAAGAAACTGTTGACTAAGTACTACTGTAAGGTTTAGGATAAGTATCACTTATAAGGGGAATATTCTGAATTGAATAATAGTGGCACTGTGAAGCAATGTGTCTTTAATTTGGTTATCTAAAAGAATCCATTCGCTGTTATATCTAAATGTTCTGCATTCAATCCCTGAAGTGGGGATAGTTCTTTCCTAGATCGAAAAAGCTGTTCATCGTTCTTGTTTTAATGGTTATTTTTGTAAAATATTTATTAAGTTCATTATTCTCCGATCTCCACGGTGTTTATTTTGTTTGGAGTGATTTATTAAGATTCTAGGTCAAAAAGATAACATTTATAACTGAAAAAAACCAATAGTTATACAAATAAATAACACTGGGAAATGGGTGTACAAAGCCTTGAATGTATACGAATAAAAACATTTGCCGCGAGATATGAAAATCATGAGCCCACTCCTCGGTGGGGTAGTGGATCCATAATGCTGAAGAGCTTCATTCTAGGGCGGAATAACTATCTAATGCTCCCTAGTTGTCTAACTCAGTTGACACTGCGATATAAACTATGAAACTCAACAATCTCCACAACACTGTTTAAAGCCATGCAAATGAGTTAACTAGTCATCCAGTCACAAACTAGAATGAACGATAGATGAATATAAATCAACCCAATTAATCAATTTATATTTATCTTCAGGAGAGAAAATCAGTAACTTAATAAACTGCATCGAAATAATAAGAGATGTCAACAGTAGTTATTGACTAAACATAATAAAATTTGGAAAGTATATGACGAATCATGTAGGGGATCTAAATAATACTGGAAATTAAGATTTAGACGAACAGTATGTTCGTTTCAACCGATCTCAAGCTGTGTGACAAAAGTCTCATATTTCATGTAAGTTGTACTTAATGAGGAGTCATCAATAAGTGGTCTTAATTTCTTTTTCCTTTAACGGATACTTCAAAAAGATTGAAATATACCAATAGCCATGCTAATGCGAAAAAACTGAACACTATTCTTCATGTGGATCTTCTATTAAATCCAGTCGATTCTGTTTAGCATAGTAGACGAATGAGTTGTTCATGAATACAAGAAATAGATTATTAAGTTAGAGTATTTACGGAGATTGTAGATTTCTTCATTTTGAATCACAGATTGATCTCAGCTAGACCATTATCGAAAACCTAGAAGCACTGGATGGCTGTTTCCTCCTAGTATGGGACTCCCAAACAGTTCTCGTCAGTGACCCTGTAAAAGAAAATGAAACCCCTGACCTCCAGTCTCAAGTGCAAACGCTTAACCTCGTAGGTAAGTACCGTTGAAGAGGCCTTCCAGGTTTTCAATAGTGTTATAGCTGAAATCAGTTCATGATTTAAGCTATGAATAGAATGTGTCGTTTGTAGTCGGACAACCGTAAATAAATTATAATTTTTATAGACTTTTATGTAGTATTTTACTAGGTTTTCTTTCAAGGCAAGATCATTCGATCAAGAAATTCCAGCCATTTATGCTTTGTTAAATAATCACTTTAGGTGCTCAATGCCTTAACAAATATGTGCTTATTTTTGTTATATAAAGTTGGTTTACCTATTAATTCAATATTGTCTCATAGTCTATCATACCAAAAATATACAGTTAGCGTATTCTCCGAAAGTTTCTTGGTACTTAAATTATGAATTTATTAGCCTGAATTACTTTCCAGCATTTCACAACTGTTTTACATTCGTTCACAAAGTACACATAATTGATATTACATTGGATGGAATCCATAAGCTTTATGTCCTCAAGAGAGCATATTCTCATTAGATTATTTGAGTCAGAATCGTTTTATTAACATACGTAATTTCAATTAGTTTGAAATATTGAATAGTTACTCACCTTGAAGGTGCGTATTAGAAAAAAATATATAAGAATTTTAGACACCATTAAAAAAATGCATCTTTAGTATATTAAGCAAGATTAAAATTTTGATTATCGTAGTCAATCGACATAGATTAATTTAGACGCTATATTCCCTTGAGTAAAGCTTATCGAAATAGTAATAATATATGTTATTCTTAATTTGTTATATGGATTAGAATGTTATACTTTTATTTATTAGCGAACTATTCCGGCTTTATCCTATTTTACTATTATCAGGTTAATTTGTTAGATTATCTTGTTTTAGACGCTACGAATAAAAATGAATAGTTCACGATTCAGTGAAATCGGAAGTTTAACTAAAGAATAATGCATAAGTTGTTAGGATGAAGAAAAGTATTTTATGTTAATTTCTCAGTTTTTAACAATAAATATGGGTCAGATAGGGTGAGAGAAATAATAGTGCAATTACAGTTCGATCAAATGTTTAGTGGAAAACTCTATATTGTGTAAAAGTTTTTTAGGAAGATATAAAGTGGAATGAATGCAAAGTAGAAAACGCTAAGTGGATAACGCGATGACGTTTGAGGCGAACAGTAGTGGGTTCGAGTCCAGGAGTGAACATCAACTCTAAGATGCAGGTACATCTAGCTGATGAGTCCCGGCGAGGACGAAACGTGCGTCCTGGATTCTACTGTTAGCCACTATTCATCTTTGCTCATAATGTTCGTGAATTAAGGCAATATCGAGGTAATACGCACAGTATGCATGTATGCCAATAAGAGACTGTTCAACTGCAATCCTAAACATCAATGGGAAGATTCAAGTAAACAATACCAAGTGAAATTAATCATGTATTGGGGCGATTAATAATGATGTTTAACCAATTGTAATAATAATAATAATAATAATAATAACGCTAATAATAATAATACAAAGATTTGTGAATAAAGATAACAGTGACAATTACATTTGACTACGAAAGGTCGTATGTACAATAGTCAAATTAGGTCATTCAATAGCTAAAATCACTATTGATTAATCGGCCTTAAATCAACTAATGCCTTGATATATTAATGAAATAAACGTGTCCGTTGACACTGAATTTAAGCTTTGAAACTTTTGATCTCACACAACTTGTAATACAGCCTGGTGATCCTCAAATACATTTTTACGCCTTATGTTATCTATATTTAGAGACGCTGAAAACAGACAAGTTGTTAAAATGGAAATTGACGTTTAACCATATATAGATACGCAACCACTATGATATAATTGAATAGTCCTGTCTTTTAGACGTATGAAATTAGACTTTCATAAAAGATTTTTTAGTATAGAATAATTATATTTAAAATGACTAATCATAGTTTTAATATAAGATAATACGACTTTCAACTGCTCTTCGACATATTGGACATGCAGTGACCTGATCACCACACCATTGACATGTGGCATGACCACACATAAAAACCAAATTTCGTGAACGGTCCAGACATATAGGACATCGAATCTGAAATGTGCGGCCGGTATAAAAATATAATTTGTAACGTCTATTATAGTAATAACAATTTTTAAATTCATTATTGTCTGTATTCAATCGCTAGTAAAAGTAAAGCTAGTCAATGACAGCTATGACGTTTACGCCGCAAAGTTATACTGATTATGTAAACTTACACACTGGCGTACTATTGTTAAGTTGTCAGTGAATTTTGATTGTTTAACATACCACGTACCTAAAAAGTACAATTCAGCGGAATTAAAACGGGGTTTAGGTCTAGGCACTTTGACATTGATTGTGATTCATTGTAAGCACTCCAGTTCTATAAAGGGTCAATAGTTAACCAAATATCATTCACCTAAGCTACAAATCTTCACTGTTTCAGTAAATTAAATATTATAATCATATGATTTAAAATTTAGTAACCGAATAATCAAACTATTGGTCAATCAAATCGACTTGAACCTATGAATTCTAACATAATTTAGTAAATCAATCAATTCTTTACAATAATGAAAAAAGCTGAAAAAATAGTATGTCTTTTCAACGGTCTCTTGTTCTTGACGGTCATACGTTAATAAGTGAAGAAAACCACTTTTTCTGGTTATCTGACAATCTACAAGTATGAGCGTACACGCGCGAGACTGAAAGCCCTGGTGTAGATCATGAAAATGGGCGAGAGATTTCAAAGTTTCTACCTGTTACGTTTACATAGCCTTCGATTATTTATTTGCATTTTGAGGTGGGTTCCTCAATATGAACTATCTTCTCCTTTGGCCTTCAAGTGTTATGCCTACGCTGCAGTTTTGATGTACTGAACCACTTCTCTCCTTATGACGACTGTGACAGCCTTGAGGCCGCGTTCCACTACATACTAATTGCAATTAATCGTTTGGGTTCGAGTCCAGCCGGATGGATCGTCAATGCGCACTGCTGAGGAGCATCATGCTAGGACGAAACGGCGTCCAGTGCTTCCACATTTTCAGTGTAGCTTTAACATTGATCGGTTCATGATCTCAATGAAACGCAAGTATGATTGTCATAGAGAAAATTATAAAAGTTAGATTACTTATCGTCTCATAATTGGTAATTATCAATAATAAATCTGTCTTACAATACGAGTAATAAATATTTTAAGACTTACTTGTTCACGCATCACTTGAAGTTCATGTTTTAACCTATCTAATTCACGTTCACATAAATGCGTTTTTAGACCCCTCGGTCGTCCAATAACTTCAGCTCGACTTCCACCTTGACGAAGCTGATTATTTGGTGTTATCATATTCTGTAATCATACAAATAAATCATAGAACCGTAAAAAGAATAATTAATTACATTACATGAAAAATAACTATGCTTGAAATGTTTCACGTTTATGTAACATACTTGTATAAAAATGTCATTCACTTGTCAATCTACATATCTTGATGTATATAAACATAACATACCTGTCTAGTAGATGGATTCACTAATCCACTAAAATTTTGATGATCAATCGGAGACAGATTGCGTGGGGGCTTAGCTGATGAGAAAAGAAGAAAATATTAAGAATTTAAATCAAATTATATATATATATATATATATATATATATATATATATATATATATATATATATATATATATATATATATATATATAAATTCTGAGATGTCAAATACCCCTAGGACTTGTACATGGCTTTATTCTTCTTGAAAAACAACTTAATCTTAACTTTCATTTTTATGAGTGTTTCTTCTAACAAGTTTGTGAAAGAGAATCATAGGTTGAAGTGTCACTGAATTAAAATTTCTTGAGATAAATAATGTTTATGATAAATTAAGTAGGAAAAAGTCTATCAGGCATTAAAGTCTTAAAATACTTTCGAATTGTTTCTGACTTTGATTTAGTAAGATGTCTTAACATACAGTCTTTAATTTTATGAATAGGATTTACTTACTAACAGTATTATACAACCAATTTCTGCTACATAGCAATTTCAAAATCTCAGTTATATTATTATCTAAATTATTATAACAGATATTTTGTTATTACACATACGCTGATCTTGGAAAATGACTGATGAAATTTAGTCTGAGCCTTGAGTGAAAGTTGGGTTTACTGGATCTAAATGATAATAAGTTAATCTGGTCTCCTATATCTTCATTTTCAGTCTAATTCATTTACTCGAACCTTTTTCCCCTACCGAAGAGTTCCTTCTGAGTGTGAATGGGTGATTATTTTACTATATGTTGTATATGCATATATAAGTTTGTACTCAAATGAAATGAAAATTTAGACCTGTGTACTTTTTTGTTGATATCATGAGATTGGTTTCTTTTTAATAACTTTCTAGGTACACTTGCTTTTCAACTGTGGAAACTGACCTTAACAGTAAGGTCTATAAATATTTATATTAAAAGAAGGAAAAAGATTTTTCAACTACATTCTGTTAACAAAAGCTAATCAATACGAGTCTTTGTGTTTCCACTGTTTTTATGTTAGGTATAGAATGGGATGTTGCAAAATGTTTGACCTTTGATGAGTCATCACAACAAAATTAGTTATGGTGCTGTCCTGCTGTGTTTATGCTTCCAGTTATTACTAATCTGTTGTTTGTTATGTTTATATGAATCACATGTACACACAAATAATCTAGTAGAAAAGATGATTATCAATATGAAATATTTCGTTTCCTCTTCAAATCACTTATGGTGCAGAACACTCTCGAAATTGTACATCTGCTTTTCTCAAAGTTTAGTAAACCTCGACCTTAAGGTAATAATTTCTAGTGCACTTGTGCAAAATACCAAAGCCTGTTGGTAAAATGTTAAACCGGCTTTGCAATAAATTGTATGGTGGAAAGTAAATAAATGGAATATACCCATTGAGACATTAAATAAGAAAGATTAATTTAGCGAATTCATTTTCAAAGCTATACGATAGCTTATATATGTACTTATTTTTCAGGATGATAATAATTGTAATAATTACAGTAATAGTGATAATAAACTTCTGTTAAACATGGTAAGAGTGAAGTAGAATAAACAAATGTACAAAGAATATTTTTTTAGTAAATAATTTCCATGTGTTAAAGAGATTTGTATAATAAATAAGCATAAACATTGTGTTAGCAACATCCTCTTAAGATTATTTAGGACCAATAATGTCCTGAAAACATTTAGGTCACTCTTCTTGAAATTTATCTGGAAATTATCATATTGATGCACTTAGTTGATTGATTTTATTTCCCATAGCAAAACTAGTTAAAGTAAAACAATCGGAATCATTTTTAACTACCCACTTCCAGCAACCATAGTTTATTTATTTTGGTTCTCTTGTCTGAATAAGCAAAAAGATGTTAGCTATCGTTTTAGTTATAAGAGTTAAGAATCCAACTTTCAGAGTCTCTTCAGAATTAGTACAACTGTCTTAAGATATCTTAACAAAATATTAGTCATATTATTGTGTGCACTTGTATTTCTGTTTCAGTCAGCAAGACGCCTATAAAATTTCTAAAGCATTTCTGGGTCCACCAGCGTCTCATTCTCGCAGTCCAAAATATCTATGTATCAACTCCCGTTGACTCGAATTAACATGATGAATGAAACGTACTACACTATTAATACTTCTGGGTTTTGTTTACTTTGTCCCAATAAATAATGGTGTATTTTAGATGGTGGCATTTTTTGTCCTATCAACTAAGATACTATGGTTTTTTGATTAAATTTGGGATAGAATCTCAGGGAATTCATGAAACGTTTAAGATAGTTTCGAAGATAACTCAATGAAGAAAACAAACTTTTTGAAATCAATCAAAAATTTCGGTGGGGATCGATTAAAATTGAATATGTGTAATAAAAGGGTTTTTATTAGAAAGTTTCTTGGTCGAATTTTTCAATAAACAGAATACAGGAGCACAAAAAGTAAATCCTAGTTACAACACACTAATGGAAAACTGTTCTCGCCCATATGACAGCTGTCACTGGTCATTACTTAATTCAACCTTAGTCTCGTTAACAATTAATGTCACCAAATGCCCTGGTATGGCCAAAGATGGGGAGAGTTAGCTCTCCCTCTCGAAATACTCTAACATGGTCACGCGTATACAACCGCTGTCAGGGAAGTCCTACTGATTAGCTTCTCACGGCAAGGGTGTTGCTTCCGAAATTGAGATGATGAAAAGTAAATGTCCGGAGAATTAAAAGGGTTGGTGGATATGGAAAATCCCCTTAGGAGAGTTGGAAAACCTTGATTACAAACCAAAAACCTTTACATATTTGGGCAGCATCATCGATGAACACGGTGGATCTGATGCAGATGTGAAAGCACGGATTGGCAAAGCAAGAGCAGCATATCTACAACTGAAGAATATCTGGAACTCAAAACAATTAGCAACCAACACCAAAGTCAGAATTTTCAATACAAATGTCAAGACAGTTCTACTGTATGGCGCGGAAACCTGGAAAACTACGAAATCCATCGTCCAAAAAAATACAGGTGTTTATTAACAGTTGTCTACGCAAAATACTTCAGATCCGCTGGCCGGACACTATAAGCAACAACCTGCTGTGGGAGAGAACAAATCAGATCCCAGTGGAGGAAGAAATCAGGAAGAAGCGCTGGAAGTGGATAGGACACACATTGAGGAAAACACCCAACTGCGTCACAAGACAAGCCCTCATATGGAATCCTCAAGGCCGAAGGAGGAGAGGAAGACCAAAGAATACATTACGCCGGGAAATGGAGATAGATATGCGAAAAATGAACAAGAATTGGATGGAACTAGAAAAGAAGGCCCAGGACAGAGTGGGTTGGAGAATGCTGGTCGGCGGCCTATGCTCCATTGGGAGTAACAGGCGTAAGTAAGTAAGTAAGTAAGATTACAAACCAATGGCGCACATGAGCTACAGGATCCTGAAGGAACAAATGGTGTATGATCCAATTATTGGTCACCGGCTACCATGAATAGGGTCTAACTGATTGACAAATACATAAGATGAAAATGATCTATAATAATAATAATAATGATAATAATAATAATAATAACAACAACAATAATAGCAGTTCACCAATAACTAATAAATAGAGATGTAGCTTAGTAGTTTTGGCGTTTCAATTTTTAGCCAATAAACCCGAGATTTGAATCTTACTTACGCCTATTACCCTTCATGGAGGAGCATAGGCCGTTCACCGTCATTCTTCATCCAACTGTGTCCTGGTCAATGCTTTCCAATTTTTTCCTGTTGTTATTTATCCTATTTATTTCTGCTTCCAATTCTCGGCTTAGTGTGTTCTTAGGCTTTCCTGTTTTTGGTTTCCCTTCAGGATTCCAAGTTAAGGCTTGCCTCGTGATGCGGTTTGATGATTTCCTCATTGTTTGTCCTATCTACTTCCAGCGTCTTTCCCTAATTTCCTCCTGAGTTAGATGATGGTTTGTACACTCTTACAGTAGGCTGTTGCTGACGGTGTCCGGCCAATGGATGTAGAGCATCTTGTGTAGACAACTATTTATAAATACTTGAGCCTCTTTGATGAGGGCTGTAGTAGTTCTCCACGTTTCAGACCCGTATAGTAGGACTGTCTTGACGTTTGTATTGAAGATTCTGACTTTGATGTTGGCAGTCAGTCGTTTTGAGTCCCACATGTTCTTCAATTGTAGGTATGCTGTCGTTGCTTTGCCAATCCACGCCTTTACGTCTGAATCTTATCCTACTTGTTCATTCACGATGCTGCCCAGATGGGTGGGTGAAAGTGTCCACCTCTTCCAGAGTTTCTCCATCAAGTGTGATTGGGTTGGTGTTCTCCATGTTACATTAGAAGATGTTGCCTTTTTCTTTGCTTATGTTGAGGCCTACTGATGCGGAAACTTCTGCTACACTAGTTGTTTTCATCTGCAATTTTTAGTGTGTATAGGACAGGAGGACTATGTCCTCTGCGAAGTTCAAATTTTCTAATTGATTCCGAGCTGTTCATTTTATTCCGTGCTTCCCCTCAGATGTCGAGGTCTTCATAATCCAGTCGATCACCGGAAGAAGGAGAAAAGGAGAGAGCAAGCAACCTTGTCGAAGTGTTCCACTCATCTGTTACTCTGTTCTTGAATCGTGGCGTTTATCTCGTCCTCTTTGTCCTTGAACGATCGTTCTGGTTTATTATATTTCCTTGTCAGTTTCTTCGTCGTGTCATATAGTTGTTTCATATTTCCTGTCTCATCTATTTCCACTGTCGTTGCTAGGTCTTCCACTTATTTCCGCTTGTCAGCTTTAATGCTCCACTTCACTTGCTTGTTTGATTCTGTGTATTCAGTTTGCTCTTTGACTTTATCTGTTCTTATTTGGCTGTTGTTAATTGATGTTTCTTGTTCCTTTTCTTTATCTTGCCCAGTGTTTCTATATAGATCCATCCCATATGATGATGCTTGTTGCGGCCCAGCACCTCCTGAAATATTGGTGCTTCTTTGATCAGCTTTCCAGTTTTCCTCCATAGTAGTTTCTTCTTTTTGAGTAGATCGTGTAAGGTTTGGGACCTGTTATTGAGAATTATCTTGAATTGGTTAAGTTTTTTTAGTATCTCGAAGGAAAGCTGTATTAAACCTTTGTACTGCTGTTTGTCCAGTTGTCCAATGCTTCATTAGCTTCAATTTCATCTTGGACACAACCAGGTGTTGATCTGAAGCTATGTCAGCTCCTCTCCTGTTTATCGTGTCTTCCATTCACCTTATGAATTTTTTACTGGTGCAAATATGCTCTATCTGGTTCTCTGTTGTGTGATCCGGTGAAACCCATGTAGCTTTGTTTATGCGTTTGTGTGGGAATATTGTGCCGCCTATAGCCAATTTCTTGAATGCATATAGATTTGAAAAGCTCTCCTTATTTTCGTTTCTCTCTCCCAGTGTATGTCGTCCCATGAAATCTTCATATCCGGTATTGTTCTTATCGGGATGGTCAGTCCTTTTCTGGGCACTTCAATATGATTGATTGCAGACTATTATAGAAATGATCTTTGTTGTCGCCGTCGCTATCATTGATGAGTGCATAACATTGTATATCATTCATTGTGATCCCCTACTTCTTTGTTTTGAAGGATGCTTTGATGACTGTGGATCCGTGAGATCCCCATCCTAAAAGTGCACTTCGTGCTTCTTTGAACATCATTAGATCAAGTCCCTGAGTGTGTGGGGTATTTTCCTCCTCGTGACCGGAGTACAGCAGTATCTCTTATGTACCTAACCTGTGCTGTCCAGCTTGGGTCCAATGAGTTTTACTGATTTTGTGAAACACCAAGTTGTATCTCCTCATTAGCGTTGCTATTTAACTGGTCCTCCTGGTCTCCCACACTGTCCGGACGTTGCTGTTGCTCTTGTTATTAGAAGAGGCATTGGCCTTGTGACTTTCGAAGAATCTCGGCTTTCATCCTGAGGCGTCATAGTTCTTTCTTCAACTTCCAGTGCAGAGTTTAAATGGTTTAATTTGTTTATTCTGGTTAGCGTTTTTTAGCAAGGTTGTTTTCTACGTCGTAAAAGTTTACATTCGAAAAAGAAATGTATGATTTCTGTTTTGTTGAATAACACGGATTATTGACTTTAATTTCTTATTCTCAAGAAGATAATTAGAAAATTTTGAGTGTTTTTTCACATGATCTATATGCCTTGTTTTCTATTTATTTCTGAAATTTCAATTTCAATGTTTTACCTAGTCTACTTTTACTCCAACTGAACCAATCTTGACAGACACATTGAAATTCACAAACTCTTCTCCGCATTTTCAGATCAATAGATTTTTAAAGAAGTATGACGTAATTATTTAAAAATCAGAGTAAAATTTTACCATTACTTTTAATATCTAAAGTATTTTTTCACCACTAAGAGTTAAATTGAATTACTCAAATTTCTATTTATTGATTTGTTTTTTAAAGCTTTGTTTCAGCTCTTTGAGATGAAATTAGCATAACTACTTTTCATAAATACCTCAAATAAATTATCTATAAGTGTCATTATCAAGGTGTTACTTCATAATTTCGAATAAGCTTAGCATTGAGTGGACTATTAATGAATAGAAACAATTATATATTTGTTAAGTCTCAGTGATTAGAAGATTAGATTTCTGAGGTTTATTGATTTAGTGTAATTTACTTCTTCAAAGAACAAAAGTAAATGATAAAATAATTTAACTCAAGTTTAAATTGTACGAGGGAAACAACGCAGAATACTTATAGTAGGTCTGATCATGTTAATATTAACATAAATCTGTGTATGGATTTGTTCTGGAAAATAACTTACATGAAACTAATTGATTCTGTACTAATTCCATGTCTGTTTGAATATTAGTTAAGACAGAGTTATTTGTTGGTAGTATACTTGTAATATTTGATGTGGTTGGATTTAATTCAGTTTCAATCGAATTACAAGAATTCAGTGTAAACGGATTTGAATTGTGTCTAAGAGCAATTGCAGTCGATTGATTATTCACACCAGAACATGCTACTAATACTGGACATAGTGACTGAACTGCATTATCACACATTGGACAACCATCTAAACAAATGCCTCCAGTTAATAAATCGTCTAGTAAACTTTGCATTTTATTTATCATTGATAACAGACGACCTAGTGGTACATTACGCCACAAATTTATATCATTTGTTCTATTAACAGATGAAAGTGATGACGTTGAAGGTTCTGTGGAAAATAACGGGTCTAATTCATCAATATTTGAGTTCATACTAGATTGTGTCGCAGAGGTAGCTGTTGGAATTGTTGACGTCCCTGATGGCAATGATGCTGATATATTTAATAAATCAGTATTGTTTATAGTAGTATTGTTAGTTGATGAAGTTTGGTTCCTGTTATCCATTACATCTTCCTCTTCTTCATAAAAGCTAATATCACCTGTAATTTGATGAATAATTTCCAAATGTTGTACTTTAGTTTTTAAACATGATTTACACCAAAGCATATGATTACATGGTTTAGCTAAAACGACACCATTTGATAAATTACATTCACAACAAAATGAAAACTAGAATAAAAAATAAACATGATAAAAGAAGATATTGATTATTGGATCACAAAAGCAATATTTTAACAATGTTGTATGATATAAAACACTCTACAATAAACAGTCAGTCAGTATGTCAAATCTTTTTGTCCATTGTAAGTAAAATAAACAATGCAGTTGATAGTTTGTTTAAGTAATATTGTTGATCTGGCTACATTAAATAAAAAAATGACTGCTTGATAATAAAGTTGAAATAAAAGTAAATTTTTGTGAAATAACAAGCTGTTTGAATACTTTATCTATAGAAGTAATCATGAAATGAAGCTAAACATGGGTGATATTTTCTTAAATCACAAGCATTCTTTTGTGCATAAATCAACCTAACTACTAACATTTGTAAAAGAGAAAGTTTACAATAGTTCAGAGGAGAAGTCTGATGAGCCTAACCAATCTAGGACGAAATGCGTAAGATTAAAAAATTTGATTTATGGCTAGGAGGATTTAGTAACCACTTGAGAAAATATTCGTACTAATTTGTAGACTGAAATTTAAAAAAATTGTCTGAGAATTTCAATAAACGAATATTGGCCATGGATGATTAATGATGACAATAAGTTACATGTTTTCATTCGGATAAGCTAAAATCCAAGTTAAGCGATGATAAATAGTTTTTCATCATGGCTCTACATATAAATGGTAGAAATAACACGAATTCAACAAAATTTTGATTGTGAATTTTAGTGCAATCCACGATGCGAATTTTGTCTGATATGGATCTCGTCGGAAGGATATGCCTGTTTATGAATATCAATAAGTTAATACAAACCCTTAAGATTACTGAAAATGAATATTAAATGTTGTATATTATTACCGCCTAAATTAATTTAATGAATTCGAGGTTACTCAGGAACTATAATAAATTATATTGCCCAATATAATTTCGAACTCGAAATATGAAATGTAGGTATTTGGTATACCTGTTTATGTCCTCTGTCATCTAAGATCTAATATTGAAATTGACTGAAACTAGATCTTAAATTTCGATGTCTAAATCAGAAATTTCAACATGCTGTTTGTTATCTTCGATATTAACTAGTTAAGCAGTTGGTCAACAATCTAAAACAACTTCACTTCTATTCGAAGTAGGCGTGGATGATGGCCTTCAGAATTACAAGAAAAGAATTAAAATCCACCAATCTAACACATACATTTGTTAGATGGCATAAAAAGTACGGTTAAATAATAATATTCTAGGAACTAAAAAATATTGCAAAAATTCAATTGTTCTAAATTAACTATTCAGAGAGAGAATCCGATACCGCAGATTTACGAAAGTCAGGTCGATATGACTACATATTTTATGCTAATATAACTGTGCTACAATAAAGGTGATATGTAACAATAAATTCTCAATACATTTATGATAAGCTTAATACTGTTGTTTTGAAGGCACAGTATTACCATAGAAAGATGTGTATTCTTATCTTTTAAATTCAGATATGGGGGTACCTGTTAGTTAAATTTGTTGTTATAAATGTGTTACCAATTTATTGCACACACTGATCATTTAATATTGTATATATGCCTAACTGAAAATACTTCAAGTGAAACCTTTTTAAAGTATAGAAAATAGCAGATAACTCACCCTATGATATCCAGCGATTCGTTGTCTGCATAGAAGACATTTTTTAATCAAAGGCGTACATGTTTCACAAGTGATAATATGTCCACATGGTAGTATGACTGTAGATCGATTCCTCTCAGAGCATACAAGACATTCACGCCATTCCAGGTCAATATCGTCAAGTGTGGGTGGAAGGAATGCATAAACATTAGAGTGAGGTATATTATTACGTAAGTTATTTGGTTCAGGAATAAATTGATTTTCAATAGCAAATGGCTGATTTAAAGAATTTTCATTTCCTTGATTTATTAGCGGTGATTGTATAACAAAAGAATTATTTGATCCTACAACTGAACAACTTGGTAATAAGTCGGCTGGTGGTATTTGACGGTTATCAGTTTGGAAAAACGTATCAACTAAATTCTCTTCATCACTATCACACATAGCTGAAAGGAGTGGAGAATTTGGTCGGTTAATATCATGTCTAGGACTACGATTAATTGAATCAGTATTTAAAGGATAACACTTAACGAAATTTAAAGCTTCTATATGACATTGTTGTAGCGCTAACTGTAAAACTGGATCTCGACATTCACGAAAAACATCTGTGACAAAATTCTCACTAATTGATTCCGTAGTAACATTATCTACATTGTCTTCTTCTGCACTTTCAGAATTTATGGCTCCTAAATGAGATGACCATGATTCCGCACCAATCGCTGAAGCTAAACATGCAGCAATAAGTACATTGCGTGGGACACCTGTTTCCAAAGTTGCCTGTATTGTAGATTTTAAACGACGACATAATGCACTTGGAGATACCAAATTTAATGATTCAGTTGTAGTATTTCTATGTGGTTCGTCGTCAGGATCATTGTCTATTTCAATTAACTGTTCTTCATAATTATTTCTATTTGAATTGAGTCGCAATTTATTTATGCCACTAGACAGCATTCCAGTTGAAGTAGGAGTTAGTGTAAGTGAATCAGCCATTCGAACTAGAAGACGTGCCACTGATGCGAGGAAAGGTACCAAAGCGACATCGAAACGTCGAACATTTGCACCCTTTTTAAAAAATATTGGAAAATAATAAAACAGAAGAAGCAAATGAAAATTCAGTTTGGGATAAAGAAATAATGATATTACCAGATAATAAATAGTATTTGCGCCTCAAATCTTTTCTTCTGAAAAATAAACATCAGTAAGGAGTGTCTATGATGAAACCAACTAGTTCAGTAGTTAAGTGTTTGCAATCAAATATAAAAAGTAAACAGTAGCCAGTAAAAAGGTTTTGATTCTTTCAACTGTATTTATAGCATTACATCACTAATAAAAAAGTTCCACACAATAATTGAGTATCGAGTATGATAAATTTATATTAAATGGTTTTATTGAGATTAATTTTATCTGTATTTAGTACATGCCATGAATTGGTCTCAGTTGATGCACCAGTTGAAACTAGGGGAAACCATATTATTACTAAACTTCATAAAAATCTATGAACCTAGGTCCTTCTGGTCTTTTGATGGAGTTTTGTTCTCTGAGCTGGATGGTTTGGTCGTGGAGCTTTCATCGTTCTTCTGAACGACATCATCAGCACAAACTTCAGATAGAAGTGAAGTGTTCGAATTTCTCCATATGCGTATGCACATGGAGAAATTCGAACACTTCACTTCTATCTGAAGTTTGTGCTGATGATGTCGTTCAGAAGAACGATGAAAGCTCCACGACCAAACCATCCAGCTCAGAGAACAAAACTCCATCAAAATCATCCACCTGAGCTACAAATCTTCTCCACCATCCTTCTGGTCTTGGAGATAACCAAACCAATAGGACTACTGGGTTAATATTGAATGATACTGATTTTCAATCTCAGTTAATTCATGGTATAGTGAAACAATTACCTAACATAATTGATGACAACTGTCTTATTCCCAAAATGTCTGGAATGAGGTTTGGATATGTGTATAATTAAATGACAATCCGGTGGTTCTAATGATTAAGTGTTCACAATGAGACTTAAAGCTCTTAGGTGCATACTGATAAGGAATTTCGTACTAGAAAAAAACATCTATCTTCAGTGATAACCCAAACCAGATAATTTCACGAAGAACATCAACTTAAAATGTATATTTAGTTTTAAATTGATCATGCGCAAAATTTACTGCTTTATTATCAAAAGAAAAGTAATGAGTAAAAATCAAATTAAATATAAACAAGCTAAAATGATTATCGAAACGATCATTACAATAGATAACAAAAATGATGTTAGTACCGTCACTTTGAAATTACTTGTTCCATTTCTGAAAATATACAATTAATCGACAGTTACACTTGTATGGATTGATTGGACAAGGTGTTTACACTTTAGACACGTTTTATAATTTATATCCGTGATGATTTACTTTCAAAATCCCGTCAGCGTTTACATTTAAAAAAATCGAAATCTCACATATATAACATATATTATTACAGAATATTTTTTTACCGAAAATTCATTAAATGAATGATTTCATTATTCAAATCAACAATTGTAAGAATTTAAGTAAAAAAAGTTCCTATTTGGAAACTCTTCAAAAATGTCTCTTTTAGTTTTTATTTATACTTTCATTTTTTTTCTAATATACTTAACAACACAAAATCAAACATCTTAAGTTATTAAACACAATAAGGATTTATAAAAACACTTAAATGTTTGTATAAACATAAATTATTTGAGTATTTTGAGTTACGGACATTTATAGAAAAGATGTAGATGTCTGTAATAACTAGTAAACCAGTCGTAAAAAAATTTACAGATGGAATCAACTTTTTTATAGTGTCAGTATAGGGTTAAAGAGATTGTAATATTTTATTGAAATCATGAACCGATCTAAGTCCGATAACCATTGGAAACCTGGAAGCAGTGGGCGCACGTTTCGTACTTGCATGGGGCTCTTCAGCAGTGCGCATCCACGACCTTATAATTGGAAGTTGAACTTTTAGAACCTAGACGGCTGAGCCAGGATCTCGTGGTGTTGATGTCTAACTTCAATCAACTCACGATGTTGTGTGACCACTTTCTATAATCTTTGATGGATACCTTCCTCACACCTGATACGGTTTATAATGAGTGAATCAAGTTTATCGGAATTATGTCACATATTAATTCTAATGCATTTCGAACAATCTGAGAGCACTTTAACTTGATACTATATTTATATATGAGAAATAATAATCGAACGAGACAGACCAGAACACTAGAAAAAAATGGACGATAAGGAAGAGTGATTGAAATCACACCACTCACTATATTAAAATTAAATCAACAGGTATTAGCAGGATCACATCTTTGACAGTATAATCACAGTAGATGCAACTGGTCCTATTAGATATGGTCTTTTATAAGACTTTATTTTCAATGTACTGAAAAGTAATTTTGAAGAATAATATACTCACTTGTACATCTAGCCGTTTGATGTGGATTTTGTTTGGTTTGTTTAATATATATATATATATATATATATATATATATATATATATATATATATATATATATATATATATATATATATATATATATATATATATATATATATATATATATATAACTAACCGATAATTTCAGTTATGGTAATGCACTGTAATACAAAGGTGTTTCACTGTTTTATGTTCATCCGCCTAGTAAATGACCTGTTGGGGTTCAAAGCAAAAGATGCTGGGTTTGACTGCGTATGTGAACATCGACACGGGAATGAAGTTACATTGATCTGTCCAATTCCAAATAGGGTGAGAGGCTCATCTCAAAAATAGATACAATTCAACTTATAAAGTGTTTATAAAATAAGTAGAACCTGATTATTGATTTTGCAACAAGCGTTTCAATGGATATAACGGCAATCTCTAATCTTTAGTGATTTTTTCACGGGATATATTTAAATCAATAACCTAGATGTCTGATAAAGATTGTAGTAATCGAACAAAAATCTTCATATGTGGAAGTATTGTTTAAATTAACTTACCTGAGACTCGTGCGCTTGTCCAAGAGCATTTAAAGCTAGTTGCATTGGACTACGTCCTGCTCCACTACGACAAGCTGCTCTAGCTCTATAACATAGTAATAAGCATACAACATCTGGATGTGCTTTGTGAACAGCCAAATGAAGAGGTGTAAATACAGAGCCTAATTTCTCTTCATCACATCCATTTAATGGAGACAAACCAGCTGGACGACGAACTACAAGGTTTGGACTAGCACCTGCTTGCAAAAGAAGATCTACAGCTTCCATATTTCCATTTAATGAAGCCAAGTGTAATGCAGTCAAACCATCTGGTTGTGTCTCATCTACTATCCATGGTGTTGATGAACAATGTTCGAGTAAGAGACGTATAATCCTATGAGGAAACAAAGAATATATTAGCAAATTAAGGAGAGCGTATTAATCTGTATTATTTTGCATAAAAATGTGAATAAATCACTTCAGATGCTGGAGTCGTTGTATATCATAATTGAATGCACAATTTGAAAATGGCTAATAGATATATTTGATGCACTTTTGTATGCTATGCTTCAGCTTTTACCTCTACTCCAGTACGTCAGCTAATAAATAAGTCTACTCGTGTTAACACTATGAGCTGGATAACTAACTGGCCATTTACTGAATTTGCTGAAAGAGGATAGTATAATATATCCAAAGGAAAGTGTATTATTTCTTTATTAGCCGAAGTTGGTATTTTTAAATTGGTAGTCACTCAACCATTTTTTCTTTTGTATGGTCTACTACATTTTTTACAAAAAGCACCTCTGTCAATCAGCTGGGGGATCTGACTGAATGTATAGCAGTTTATTCTTATTCTAATTGTTTTTAAATGAATGTTTTCATACCATATGTTGAACAGCGACCAGTTTGAATAACCTTACACTAGACCATTCTTAATGTCATAATGTTTACTTCAACTTCAGACACTAAAAGACCTAAACACTCTGTTGGAATCCCAAGTATTCAATACTATTGAAGATTTTATTACCAAAGTATCAGTACTGTTATTACTATTAATTCTATTTTATCGAGTATGAAAAGCATTCCAGCATTACTTAAAATGCAGTTAATGATAGAATGGATCATGCATTAGTATCAGCTAATTAATTCCATTTACCGAAACACTGTTCTGATAAGACAGTATAAATTACAATACACAAATTGTACGGGTTTAGACTTGATAATCAACTTTAGCTTATTCACATCAAGGTTCTATAATCACTTTATTGAATATCCTCATTTCTTAAATGAGATTCATAATATCTTTTTCAGGGTTAGACACAAGACTTTTCTCAACTTGCTTTGTTATACAATATGTTCATCATTCCAAGTTTGTTCATTAAACGGTTGTAGAAAGGGTAAAAATTTTTAAAAAGTTATGCGCATAATTTCAATTGCATAAGTTGTAGTTATTCGAAAAAAACTTTCTATTCATTGTCGACAGCTAGAGTATTAAAATAGTAAATATCTTCTTATTCCAAATACCGGGCATGTTTGTGTATATTTCCCTGTACAACAATTTTTGTAGGTTATACATCTTCGATGTAGAAGCATGTATACGCTAATGAAAAAAGAACCATTGCTTTAAGCATTTTGTATAATCACACCCATTTTTCATTTTTAGTCTTGTAGTGAAAGTAAGTTTTTTTTCAGTCTTTCGTCTGACTGCCTGATAAATATGTCGATTTTATTAGTTATCCCAACAGTAACAACAACCACAATCATAGTAAAGTAACCCTTCTTTATTGATGCATTACACAGTGCAATTTATGTCTGTCCGACAGATGAAACAAAAAAAGGAATTATAAAAGGAGAAATAGGTAAGAGAATAGTAAGTCATCGATTGAACGACAGGTATTAGAAATAGGATAAGTAGAGTGCATACGGTTTGCTAGAATGTACCAATCAGTAATCAAGGTTGAAAATTTTTATTAGTTATTAGTAAGCCAGACAGCGAAAAATCGAATTTGAAGCCTAATTTACACATTTTACGTTTAAATATGCACATTTCATATGAAGAGGCATGGCATAAAATCAAACATCAGATATACATGTACTAACCGGTTATTTTTTCATGTGTTTGTTGTTCTTATTATTTTTCACTTTATAGGATAATTAAACGAGTAAAATGAATATAGGTAGAAAGGTGTGAAAAGTTATTTTAACTGCTTAAAATAATTTATGGAAAACAAATCTAACTGATTAACTGTATAAGGTGTCTATGTCAAAATTGTGTTGTGATTAGTCATTGCTTTGGCGACTGAAAGCCTCTGAAGTAAAAATATTCAAAATATGTATACCTCGAGTTCCTTCAGTCTTTAATGGATGAAATTTCGTAGAAAACAAACTCTGTATAATTATCAGTCTTCAACTTAGTCTTCTATTTCGAACAAAAAGTAACATTAGTTTTACATACATAAAACTGCACTAAAATTGAATTGGTTGAAGAAAAAAAACAGTGTTGTAAGTGTTTATGTTTTCTTTTTTGATGTCTGAGTCAAAATCATTTTCGAGGTACACATCAGTGTCATATTTTCATGTCTGAATCAAGAAAATGGTATAGTTGTCAATTATTTTCTTACAACTTTGCACAAGGGCCCCCAAATGCCCTGGTACGGCCGAGATTAGGGAGAGTCCACTCTCCCTCTCGAAATACTCTCACATGGCCACGCGTATATAGCCTTTGCCAGGAAGTTCTACTCACTGCCTTCTCGTGGCGGGGGTGTTGTTTACAAAAATGAGAGGACGAAAAGCGAATTTCCGGCGCTTTAACCGGATCCCAATTCTATGGTGCACATGGGCTCCAGTATCCTGATGGAACAAATGGCGTATGAACCAATCATCGGTCACCGGCTACCATGGGACTGCATCTCCTTACGATGCTCTACTGCCTTGTGGGTCAGATGTTCAGGTCGAAAGCTCGGGATGTGGCTCCCTAAGAAAACCACCTGCTTCGGTTTGGGCACCCGTGCAGTATCACAACCCTCACACAAATCAATTGAGATTCGTGTGGCGCATCTGTATTTGGTGCCTCCTTGTACCAATACCAATGTGTTAAAATAAATAAACAATAAATAACTTTCACAAGGAGTATATAAACATAGATGTTTTGGAGACCTCACAATAATTGAGGTCTTCACTTTAAACTCTTTCTAGTAATCAATATGAGAAAAACGTATATGTGCTGATATTGATTGACATGTTTAATACTACCATATTACATCATTTATATTTACTGCTTATGAGAAGGCATTTGACAGTGTAGATAGGAGAACGTTATGGAAAATTCTTCGACACTACGGAGTTCCTGAGAAGATTGTCAACATTATCCGGAACTCATTCGACGGACTACAGTGCAAAGTAGTGCATGGAGGACAGCTGACAGATACATTCCAAGTAAGGACCGGACTAAGACAAGGTTGTCTACTCTCTCCCTTCCTCTTTCTTCTGGTGGTCGACTGGATTATGAAGACCTCGACATCCGAGGGAAAACACGGCATACAATGGACAGCTCAGAACCAATTAGACGATTTAGACTTCGCAGATGACCTAGCCCTCCTATCCAATACACACGAACAAATGCAAACAAAGACAGCCAGCATATCAGCAGTCTCTGCATCAGTAGGCCTCAAAATACACAAAGGGAAAACCGAGGTCCTCAAATACAACACGGAGAACAGCAAACCAATCACTCTTGATGGCGAAACTCTGGAAGATGTGGAATCCTTCACATACCTGGGAAGCATCGTCGACAAACAAGAAGGTTCAGATGCAGACGTCAAGGCAAGGATTGGCAAAGCTAGAGCGGCATTCCTTCAACTGAAGAACATATGGAACTCAAAACAACTTTCAACCAATATCAAAGTCAGAATCTTCAATACGAACTTCAAGGCAGTTCTACTGTACGGAGCTGAAACTTGGAGAACTACAACAACCACCATTAAGAAGGTACAAGTATTTGTCAATAGCTGTCTAAGCAAGATACTCAACATCCATTGGCCGGATACCATCAGCAACAGCCTTTTGTAGGAGAGAACCAACCAAATTCCAGCTGAAGAGGAAATTAGGAAATGACTATGGAAATGGATAGGACATACATTGAGGAAATCATCAAACTGCATTACGAGGCAAGCGCCAACTTGGAATCCTGAAGGGCAGAGGAAAAGAGGAAGGCCAAAGAACACATTACGTCGGGAAATAGAAGCGGATATGAAAGGGATGAATAAGAACTGGAAAGAGATGGAAAGGATTGCCCAGGACAGGGTTGGATCGAGAATGCTGGTAAGCGGCCTATGTTCCTTCACGAGGAGTAACATGCGAAAGTAAGTAAGTAAGTTATACGGTAAAGTGTTTCATTCAGTTAAATAGTAAGACATTTAACTTCTTATAGTCTTAACTGTTCTTCCGCATGATTTGACGATCAAAAAAAAGTTTATGAAAATTCATTTCGAAATAAATTAGAGCATACAGTATAAACTAGGTTAAATTATTTGATATTTCTTGTTAAAAATGAAATTAATCTAATTATCTTAATCAATTAATGAAAAACTCAAGTAACTAAAGGCATTGTTTCCTAAATAATATTATATGACAATGATATAAAATTTTTGCCAGCAGAATGGGAATAAAAAGGTCTCTCAATTTAACATCTTGTGGTATAATTTCTAAAATTATGTTCAAACAAACTATAGAATGATTAGTGTTTAAATATGATTGACGATCATCACTAAATGATATCTGTCAGGAATGTGTTATATTAAGCACTCTAGTTTGTAATTATTACATAAAATATAGTTGGGAAATTTACTACTGTTAAATGCAAAACATTACACCACTACAAGTCAGTTTGTTATATATATATTTCACTTTCAAGGACGAAGAACGTATTTGTAAAATCTCAGAGAGTGAATTTGAAGTAAATCCAACGTTTCACCTGGCAATCTGGTCCAAGGTTTTTCAAGGAAAGATAATTAAACATTAAAACGTCAAATAAGAAAGTTTGAACAAATGTTTTAACATTCGTCGAAAACCAATAATGACGAGATTAGAAACAGCTCCAAAAATCTAGATATAAAAAATAGTGGTGAATCCATTTAACGGACATTTAAATCAACATGAACTATCACTACATGAAAAGGGTCTCAATTTCAATATCAACAGATCACGACAAATGGCTTCTGAAGTTGTTCCATTGATCGAGCATGCTTTAAGCCATGTTCCAGATGATCAAGCAAATACTGTGTGGATTAAAATCTCAGCTGCGTTATTAAATCAAAAACCGAATGCACTTAATCTATCTAAAGAAGAAGTGTATACTCTAAAACAGATACATAAAGATACAAAAATTGTTATGATAGGGGCAGGAAAGAGAAAAATCACTGTTGTTATGAATAATTCTGGTCATGAAAGAAAAGTCAACTAACATCTCTACAATGAACCTTACGAAAAAATAGTGAATAACAAATGTAGAGCAACTTCAAATAAGTTAAAAGCCGAAACGGCCAAAATGCTACAAACCTTAAAATTCAAACAAGGATCATCTCTATGGTTTTCTTTAAATCCAAAAGCAGCAGCCCTTGTAGATTTTATGGGCTACCAAAAATCCATAAAACAGATGTCCCACTAAAACCTGTGTTTGATTATACAAATTCACCAACTTACAATCTTCATAGATACCTAGCCAAGATTCTTAAACCATATGAAAATGTAATCAAATACGGAACAAAACATCCTAATGAGTTCAAAGACATTATCACTACTATTCGCATAGAAGATGAATTAATGGCAAGTTTTGATTCATGCTCATTCTTCAATAATGTTCCTGTTAAGAAAGCTTTAGATATTGTACATAATCTCTTAGATTCTGATATTGAACTTAAACAACGATGTCCGTTAGGTCCCTGAGACACTATTAAAGCTCTGGATCTATGTTTACTTTCAACATGTTTTAAAGGATAATTTTGGTGTTTGATTATATTTCCTTGAAAAATCTTGGACCAGATCGCCAGGCAAAACATTGGGCTTACTTTAAATTCATTCGCTCAGATTTTACAAATACATTTTTCCTTAGTGTCTCACATCAACTTCGCGCCCAAATACCGTGAAACCATCCGATCAAATTTAGACGAAAGTTCTTGTATATTTTTCACTTCTGCTGTAAACTCAACAAATTAGAAACAATAACATTCCTGTATTAAACTCGAGTATCTTTAGTCTTATGGGATATATATTTTCAAAATAATGCAAAGAACTTATCAATGACTTATCAATGCGCACTGCTGAGGAGTCCCACAATAGGACGAAACGGCCGTCCAGTGCTTCCAGGTTTTTCATGGTGGTCTGGCTTCAACTAACTCATGATCTAAATCATTGAAATTACTACAATCTCCACAAAACCCCTTCTGATATTAATGACTAAAGAGTCTGAACACAGGAATACATAACTGGGTCCGTCGTTTATACTTAATTCCTAAAACGCTATGTATGCCTAATTTTGTCTGAAGAAACAGATTCTGTAGGGCAGTAACTACAAGATTAGATTTCTGTACGGAAGAATGCTTTAAGATGTTATCACTTAAACATAAAGTGTATGCCATTCATATTCGATTTGACTACGATAGTATAAGCCTGTGTTACGTACATAAAAAGTACCCACCAATCATGATTATGTATACGTAGGGATTACAATTTTCATCATTTTTGGTCCAATCAGAAATGAATTGTGCACTGACAGTGGAAATAAGGTAACAATGAATCTAAATCTAAGACCAGTATGCAAGTTAGGGTCACTAATTTAACTGTATACACTTTGCATTGACAAACACACATTGGCATACACTCACCACGTTTTGCTTGAAAACCCATATCCACTGGAATATGTATATATTGTATGTGAATGGAAAATTGAATAGTGCATTCATTTTAGTTCTCTCTTCTCTGTATTCGATACGTTCAAAAACGGAATGATGGACCTACTATATAATGATTTCATTGAATTATTTATGCTTATTGTAATTTCTTCTAGTCTTTGCATACTTCCCAATAGGCCATAGCGTAATTCAATACTTTACTAGTTTTTTATTAGAAAAAAAAACAATGGAAAACTAGTAATGAGTAACTTATGGAATGTTGTGAAGTATGTGCTTGACTGGAACTAGTCTGCAAATGAGAAAAATCTTGTCAATTTTTTCTCCAAAAAGATAATTTGGGAGAATAAACAGTGAGATGGGTTTTTTTTAAAATTTATTAGCAGGAGATAAGTAAGTGAAATATTTTATATGTATATACTTTTTTGATACTTTTAAAGCAAAGCAAAATAATTTGCTTTTGATATTGAAATTTACGATGTTTTGAACAAACATTTGAAACAAATAGTTACTTTAACTGTGAATTAGCATGGCTTTATCAGTATACAGAGTAGTATACCTTATAACATTTTGACATATATAACTTGATTGAAAGGATATGTTATTCCGAGAGAAATTTATTGTTTTAAAGCTAATTATTTACTCCATATAAAACCAATGAAAACAGGACATATATATATATATATATATATATATATATATATCTACTTTCCATGTCCTATTTATTTTTCATTGAATAAATCGATTCAACTATAGACAATTCTACTACCAAACTAGATAACGAAAGAATCAGCAATTAAATTGGTAATAATAATTTTCCTACTAGTATTATTATTATTATTGCTAATGTATATTTTATTTTTTCCAACAAGGAACAAAATACTAATTGATTTTCAAACGATCAATGGGTAATTTGATTAACAAGAACTGGTTTATGATATAAACATATTTATATATTTATAAAACACAATTTTCTAAGAGCACATTAGATTAGGGCCGATCGTACATTCATTTCCAACTAACATCGAACTATTTCTATATGTGCCTAACTTGTTTATATAAGGTTCAATTATCTATTAGAAATGTATAAATCAACTACTCAATTTGTTAATATTACTTATTTACGCCCGTTACTCCCAATGGAGCATAGTTCGCAGACCAGCATTCTTCAACCCACTCTGTCCTGGGCCTTCTTTTCTAGTTCCATCCAATTCTTGTTCATTCATCTCATGTCAATCTCCATTTCCCGACGTAATGTGTTCTTTGGTCTTCCTCTCCTCCTTCGGCCTTGATGATTCCATGTGAGGGCTTGTCTTATAACACAGTTGGGTGTTTTCCTCAATGTGTGTCCTATCCACTTCCAACAATTCTTCCTGGAATGTGGTTTGTTCTCTCCCACAGTAAGTTGTTGCTAATAGTGTCTGGCCAAAAGGATTCGAAGTATTTTGCGTAGACAACTGTTAATAAACACCTATATCTTCTGGAGGATGGCTTTGGTAGTTCTCCAAGTTTCTGACCGATACAGCAGAACTGTCTTCACATTTGTATTGAAACTTCTGACTTTGATGTTGGTTGCCAATTGTTTTCAGTTCCAGATATTCTTCAGTTGTAAATATGCTGCTCTTGCTTTGCCGATCCGTGCTTTCACATCTGCATCAGATCCACTGTGTTCATCGATGATGCTGCCCAAATATGTAAAGGTTTTTACATCTTCCAAATCTTCTCCGTCAATTGTGATAGGATTGTTGCATGCTGTGTTGTATCGGAGAATCTTGCTTTTCCCTTTGTGTATATTGAGACCTATTGCTGCTGAGGTTGCTGCTACACTGGTCGTCTTCTCCTGAATTTGTTGTTGCGTGTGCGATAGAAGAGCCAGATCATCTGCGAAGTCTAGATCATCCAATTGCATCCTAGTTGTCCACTGTATCCCGTGTTTCCCTTCAAATGTTGATGTCTTCATGATCTAGTCGATTAGCAGGAGAAAGAGAAAAGGTGAGAGTACGCAACCTTGCCTGACACCGGTCTTTACTTCGAACGACTTTGTCAACTGTCCTCCATGTACGATTTTGCAGTTTAATCCATCATAGGAATTCCATATGATAATGACTATCTTCTGAGGCACGCCGTAGTGTCGAAGAAGCTTCCATAGGGTTGTTCTGTCCACGCTAGCAAATGCTTTTTCGCAGTCGATGAAGTTGATATAGAGTGATGAATTCCATTCAAGTGATTGTTCCACAATGATCCGTAGAGTTGCGATTTGGTCTGTGCACGATCTATCCTTACGGAATCCTGCCTGTTGGTCTCGAAGTTGGGCGTCTACGGAGTCCTTCATCCTGTTTAACAATACCCTGTTGAAGACTTTTCCTGGTATGGAGAGAAGAGTAATGCTCCTTTAGTTATCACACTTTCTGAGATCGCCTTTCTTTGGTATTTTGACTAGAAGTCCTTCTTTCCAGTCTTTTGGTACCTGTTCCTCATCCCAGATCTTTCTGAAGAGAGTTTGGAGTATCCTTGCAGTTTCCACTACGTCTGCTTTCAGTGCCTCTGCTGGAATGCTGTCTAGTCCTGCTGCTTTGCCACACTTGATTTGTCTGATAGTCATGCTGATCTCTTCAAATGTTGGTGGGCCAGCATCGATTAAGAGGTCCGTGAGTGCTGCTTCGATGTTGGGTGGGTTCAGTGAGGCTGGTCGATTCAAGAGTTCTTTGAAGTGTTCCACCCACCTGTTTCGTTGTTCTTCAATGTTGGTGATTACCTTGCCTTCCTTGTTTTTCACTGGTCGTTATGGTTTACGGTGATTTCCAGAGAGTTTCTTTGTTGTGTCATACAGTTGTCTCATGTTTCCTTCTCTGGCAGCCTTCTCCGCCGTCATTGCTAAATCTTCCACATATTTACGTTTGTCAGTTCTGGTGCTCCTCTTCACCTGCTTGTTTACTTCTGTGTATTCAGCCTGTGCCTTGGCTTTTTCTGCTCTTGTTCGGCTGGTATTGATTGCTATCTTCTTGTCCTTGTGGTTTTGTGTATGCGTTTATGTGGGAATATAGTCCCGCCTATGACCAGTTTATTGAAGGCACATAGATCTGCAAACCTCTCACCACTTTCGTTCCTTTCTCCCAGTCCGTGTCATCCCATGATCTCTTCATATCCGGTGTTGTCAATTCCAACCTTGGCATTTAGGTCTCCCATCAGAATGGTCAGGTCGTTTGTTGGGCACTTCTCGACGATTGACTGAAGCCTATCGTAGAATTGATCTTTAGCATCTTCATTGTAGTTGTTGGTAGGCGCGTAGCATTGAATGACGTTCATTGTGATGCCCTTTTTCTTCGTTTTGAAAGAGGCTTTGATGATCTTTGGTCCATGAGGCTTCCATTCTATAAGTGCATTTTGTGCTTGTTTGGACATCATCAATGCAACTCCTTGTGTATGTGGGGCATTTTCTTGTTCATGTCCGGAGTATAACAGCAGCTCCCCTGAAGCTAGTCGTTGTTGTTCAACTTGCGTTCAATGTGTTTCACTGATCCCAAGCACCTCTATGTCGTATCTCCTCATTTCTGCAGCAATTCGGAAGACTCTCTCAGTCTCCTACATTGTACGAGCATTCCATGTACCTCGTGACTTCCGAAGAAACTCGTCTTTCATCATGAGGCGTCATAACTCTTCTAAATGAAGACCTTCTGACTACCAGGGCAGAGTTTAAATGGTTTGAATAGTTTTTTGTGGTTAGCGTTTTTTTAGTGAGTTAGTTTTCTACGGGATGGGGTCGTTAACCTCATGCCCAACCCTTCTCCTTTATCCGGGCTTGAGACCGGCAGTAGCCCCTGGAGGGACTCCAGGCGGAGTATTAATTAAAGTTAATTAGACCGTTCAATCATTTAAATTTAGCTAAAATATTCAAAGGAGGTAGAAAACAATCATTACCAGTAGTAATATTTTAAAAGAATGAAAACGATCATATAACATTGCATTCACCACATTACAGTTTTGTATTTTAAAGAAAATTGTCTAAGTCTTCGTTTTTATACTGCCTACATATTCTGACTAATTAACTTTGAAGTGTACACATAAAAATAAAAATAATTATTTATATATTCTTTAACTTTACTACTTATGTAATGTTCGAGTTATTTACTTTTATTCACTATATCCTATTTATAAAGACAGAATAACAGTAACGTGAACTTTCACTTAGAATATGTTTACATTATTTAAAGATAATTCACCAGCAGTCTAAACAAACTAGTAAATAGATGAATAAATGAAAAACGTTGATTTTTCTAAAAACGAGATAACAAGAACGTCAAAAGTTGAAAAAAACAATATGTTGTACAACTAACTCAGTCAGACATATATATTTTTCTAGCTTGATCTTTTTCACTTATTTATGAAAGGATTCAATTATGAGTAACTTCATTTTTAAACTTTAAAACTTAGAATAGTAACGTGATTATAACTAGTTATTAAATTTTCTATGTACAGACAAATCTTTTTCGTTTCAAGGTTTTGGTTTCAGTTATAACTTGATAGAATTCAAACGGTAACTTGCAGCTGAGAATAAAACAATCATTCCAACTTCATTAACAACAACTAATGATGTTTGTAGACATGTAAGTTGAGTTCTATAATATAATATAATATAATATAATATAATATAATATAATATATATATATATGTATTCATGTCTACGTTATTAATATTAATAAGATGAGATTTCATTTTCATTTATTTGTTTGATTTTTAGTACCTTGAAAAATTATATTATTATTTTTTTCCCTTACATCAATAAGTTGAATTATATTGGATAACTATTTTTAGTGTTATCCTAATGAACAAAATGATGAAATGTGGTTCAACATAGTCGAATGCGATGTATAATTTCAGAATGACTGTAATGATCGGTAATAAACTGAATCATTCGATAGTAGTGAATATTAAGAATATTGCTCGGGAAAAGATTGTGAAAACAGATGGTTGTTTGGTGGAAGTTATTAACTAACATTTTGTTTCTTAACTATACTGTATATTTGTATAAACTTACATCGTTATGAATTTAACGTAACATAAAATGCTCTCCAGTCTTTGTATAGTTAACTGGTGCCTTGAAGGCCAACTAACTCTCATCGGTCAGATTATATTCATATTAACCGAATGTTGTATATTTTTAATGCTTTTGATCGAACTTCAGGAGTGAGGATATTTGTGGCAGGTATATGGTAAAATTCATTTTATTGCGTTAATTCTCACTTACTCTGTATGAGAAAGATTGATTCAAAGAATCTGGGTAATTCATAAGGTTTCTTCTCATTCCTAAGCATTAATTTAATTATTAATCATGTAAACGTGGGTTATATCGCTGACAAAACGAAATTTCTATAGTTTTGGTCACAAAAGATGGAATATCCATAAAAAAGAACAATTATTCATGAATTAGTGTTTCGTTTTTCAATTGACATTTTATTGTATACGACCGACGTGTACATATGACACTGATAATGTGTTAAATAATTTTTTTGAAGAAAAGTCAGCATTTATTGTCGTTTTCCATAAAAACTCGTTTATCTCCTTACTGTTTAGCAAAATTATATATAAGTCGAGTGATTAGTATCAATTTTATAATTTATTTATTATGTATGCTTATTATTTATTGGATTGGATGATTTCAAGTAATTACACTTGTGAAGCTATTCTAAATTATGATATTCAACGTTGAATTTATCAGTGTCAACCACACAAAAGTAATTCTAAATATAATTTATGGCCGATATTATTTTAGTTTCCGAATAAATTCATCTATTATTTAGAAAAATTCTGTTCTTATTATGTCATAAATCGTGACAACTTTGTCTTCAAGCAGCCAAACACATTTCTCAATATTTTGGGGTCAGAAATATAATATTGATAACATATTTTGAAAACCCTCTTGATGGATACGAGTATTTAAGCCTAATAAAAAATTTTCTTGTTGATTGATGATACTACATCATCAAGTCAGTTTCATTGTTGATAACCAGAACAATGCATTGAATACACTTTGAGGTAGTTTTCTTTGTTTTTGTGTTTCTTTCAACTTTAACAAAACAGTTATCATAGTGTTATATTTCTTATTATGAAACGTCTTTCAAGACAATACATTCTGCCAGTCATTCTTATTCTCTGGTTATTGGTTGTACTAATTCCCTACAGTTTGATATATTGAAATTACCACATTTTTTATTAATATCCTTTGTGATTTGCGTTATCATTCATTAATTTGAAGTTGTCAAGTATATACTGTAGTGATTATAAATTCAGTAGTATCTCACTGGAACATATTGTAACGAGGAATGGCTAATGAATTTTTCTCTAAAAAAACACACCTTGAATAAATATCGATTATACTAATAAACCGTATTCAAATTTGTGAACCGTGAAATTTTTTAGCTTCAGTTTGTAGTCGTGATTGTGAATGAATAGAGATTTCTAATTTTCATAACTATCGTGTTTTAAAAACTAAGATTTCATTCAAAAATAACAAGGGTAGTATGTAAGATCAAATAAGTAAGTGTTTACAAGCTAACAATTAAGGGGTCGATTTTTGTATGATCTGTCTTACTGATAAAATCTCACAACATTGTAACCGAAGCCCTATGTATTGTAATCATTATCTCATATTACCATTGAAGTAGAGTAGGCAGTAGACTTCGCTGAATATTTAACACTGGGTAACTAAATTCATTACTGTATGGGAGGTCATTTGTGTTAATAATTTTTGAACAAGTACAGAAGATTAAGCTTATTTAATATGATGCTAAACGTTTTTGGAAGTAAAAGGAATGAATAATATACTGATATAATTTAATTAATTACTTTAACAATATAGCTTATTTTTAAGCGGTGTTAATGTATTAAAAGAAGGGTCATGCATAAATGTACATTGAATTGTTTCGTTCCAGTTACATTCTGACAAGTGAAGTTCAATAGATGCTTCTGTTCAGTAGATAAAGAATTCATATGAATTTTAATGTGACACTCAACCCCCAGCCTACTATTGTGTAAGAATAATATTTTTAAAACTAATTGAGCGTAAGCCATT